GGCGGAAAAATGGCCGCAGACCACGTGTCAGGGGCGGAAAAATGGCCGCAGACCACGTGTCAGGGCGCAAAAATGGCCGTACCCCGAGGCAGAGTTCGCCCATCGAGGTAAATTTTTGCGGCTGGAGCTGGTCGTAACCCGAAAAGTTCGTTAGTAGAGGTGTTCATATCCCGAGGTACCACCGTACCTACATGGTCACCAAGAGTTCGCTCTGACTCAAGGGAAGCTTTATTTTCTTTACATACCTGATTTTCTATGGCCTCCACGGATTTAAGCAAGACTTGAGCAGAGTATTGGGCAAGTGGAAAGCTATCACTGTATTCAGTCTTATGAGTTCATGATATGTATCTACTTAGTACTCCCCTTTTCACATTTAACTGACAAGCTCTGCTGTTTTTCCATCTAAAAAGAAAAGGGATAAAAAGCTGGGGAGCGGAGAGATATAGGAGAGGACACCTTTATAGCTAACATTTCTTGGATGTGAGCAGAAGATTGTTCAAATATAAAGGCAAATCTTCTTTATTTGAACATTTGTGTACAGTGGAGGGGTAAAATATGAAGACAAAATCCACATGTGGGCCTTTTAAAATGTTGGATGCTGCTTCCAAAGCTGTTCCAAAGTTGCTGCCAATCTATGGGACACAATGTATTCAGCAATATACAAAACTCATTGCACAAAAGACCTGTTGTAAATGTAGCCTAGTGGGAGAAAGGATTTTTGAATGAAAATAGCATTAAAAAACTAGGCTGAAGCCTGTGACTTATATTTTGCAAGGCGTTAATACTGTCAGTAACGTAGTGCTTGTAGCTAGGCATCATTTTAAGCTTAGGCATCAAGAGAAGCCAAACATTAGATAATTACCTTCAGTCTGTTTAGTTCCTGGAAAAGTTAATGTCACAAAAAATTTACTGCAAAGATTTTACTTAAAACTTCTCATGGACTACATCCTTGTGATAAATGTATTCCATTTCTGTTCAGCTACAATTATTTAAGCCAATGTTATATCCAGATGCAGATTATTTTCGCAGTGTGTTTATATCTTCTAGGAGAGACCATAGTTTACAGTCTGGTGACCTAGATATTAGAAATACTCTGGTCAGAGAGCCATCATGGATTTCTTGAGCTGCTGGCTGTTCCTTAGGCTTGGTTCCAGCATTTCCTTTGCAAGGCAATCCTTTCTCCTGCTGATCTTTGCTCTTCTACATCAGTAATACTGTTCCCACAAGGATTCAGTACTACAGTATCCTATTGGAAGCACAGTAATTTTCTTCTCATGTCCTTAATCAATACTTCAGCAATGTTTTGTTCTCTTCTCAGAATGGCTTTACTGCTGATAAGTGAAAGTCTTTTCCTGATTGGATGAAAGTGAGCAACAGAACTTTGATTTTGAGTTAAGATTTGATTAACAAAGTTTTCAGCACAAACTAACTGAGGTGTAGCATTTTTCTCCCACCAGAAATGCAATTCAGTATAAACTGTTTCCTCTCATGATATTTATGAACCCACTTCAATCCTGATGATTCACTTATACCTGTATATTAAGAATCTGCTAAGCACATCTTAGTTTTTTTTAAAAATTGCTTTAAAAAGCATTAAGAATGAAAATAAATTTGCTTCTGCCCTTTCCAGTGATGTTATCCTATTGCTGATGCCACTGGGACCCTTGGAGGCCTCTTTTTTAGGCTTGCTTGCTTCTTTGGTAAATACAGGCATCAGCTGCCAAAAGTCTGCCTATCTGAAAGCAGCCCTCAAGGAAGGAATCCAGGGCAAAAGGAAAGGTTTGGTATCATGCTTTAAGAAAAGGAGCCTATATGAAAATCAAAGCTGAATTAAGTATTTGGTTAAGAAATCCCTTAGGAGGAACAGTTAATTCAAATGTGCTGCACAATTGCCTGAACACTTCCAATTAACTTATTTTTGGCCTATTTGTGAACATAAGTCACCCAATAAGAGAAAGTTGAATCCTTACATTGTGAAGATAGATACAATAACTTACTGTGACACTTTCTTTCTGTCACTGCACCTTTTCCATCACTGCTTTGTTTTTTTGGACAATTTTCACAAGCCACCTGGCCATATTTTCCATTATAGGATCCAGCAGGACACAAAGTACAGATTGTTCCATATTTTGCACTGAATCTACCTGGTGGACATGTCACTATCCCATTTAAAAAAAAAGAACAAAGTTATATATCAACTTAAATGCACTTAATTTTATTAGCTAGTGTTACTATGAGTTTGCTCTGACTTTGATTTGTAATCAAGTCTTAGGTGCTGAAGGGGAGCAGCGGGGGGAGGGGAGAAAGAGTAGGAAAAGAGGAAGTACAAGTGCCAAGTTATCTTCTGAAAAACCATTTGTATCTCCTATAAAGATAAAAGCAGCATCAGAAAACAAAAGCAACGTGATCCAGTGAACACGAAATCTTAAATGAATTTTAAACACAAAGCAGGCTAATTTAAATTTCTTTGGTTTAAAGTATTTATTGTAATGCATGTGGAATTGGTGAAATAACCATGATTTGCCTTAAAGCAGTAAATGTGTAAATGTATGGTTTGTTGTTGGCTTATGGATTGCAACAGTGGCTTGTGATTGGCTTATGGATTACATAATTATCCATGATCAAATCTTTTCAGAATTTTTAGGGTTTTTTTTTTAATAACTGAAAAAGCACATGCAAAAGTACAGTAAATAGGGGATGGGTTTTTTTATAGCAATCTCTATATTCAAATTTACATTTTTAATCCAATTCATTAAAAATATTTTAGTTCTTCTCTACTCTAGAAAGATTGTAATAGAGAACCATAAACATTAGGTTACCTGTGTTGTGAAAAGTATCATTTCAATTTCCTCCTACATTTTGGCTGCCCTGTAGTGATTAAATGTACATGCAGAATAAATGCACATCATTCTGCTTCTTCTTCTGAATTATGTATTTTTAAAGTCTTTTAGGCCATCTCTAAGAGAATTCAATAATTCTTCAGAACACGCCCTCTCTGAGGTAGGACTTTTTGCACATCCCTATAACTGATACAATATGCTTTCCTCACTCTAAGAAACCCTTAAATGTGTGTTTTAAGTTCCTGAGAAGGTGAGCAAGATTAATTGATATAGAGTACATTTTGAAATCTAATCATAAATAGGCCTTTTAGGACATCAAGTCAAATGCTTGCTCTGTGCAGGAATCCAGATTAAAGCAGCTTTGCAGGTGGCAGTATAGCTCCTCTTGAATGAACAAAGTGAAAGGAAATTGGTTCCCATTTTGAACTGTTCCTTTTCCTACCATCCTTTTGAAATCTACCTTCCTATAACTTAATTCCATTATTCTGTGTCCTGAACTCTAGAATAAAGACAAGTCTTGACCTCTTCCTGTGATCATCCATACAGGAAATTAAGGAATATCATCATATCCCTCTTCAGTGTTCTCTTCTCAAAAGTAAATATCCTCCTATCCTTCAATCCTACACTTTGTAGGATTAGTTTATGCTCTCATCTTCACTGCCCTTCTCAGATCCCATTCCAGTTTGTCTGGCTGCTTTTTAAAGTGAGAGGCCCAAAACTTGACAGAATATTTGAGATAGCCATTTATTCTGAGTCATGCAGATTAAAGTTATGACTTTAATATTTTAATATTCTAAGACTATGACTTCCCTGGATTTAGAAAAGATACTTCACTGATGCACCATAAAATTCATTATCTCTTTTTCGCACTTTTCACAACAAAGGTAACCTAATGTTTATGGTTCTTTATTATAATCTTTTTAGAGTAGACAAGAACTAAAATATTTTTAACACTGCTGATTCACATTCATTTTGCAGTCAATACTATTTCATGGTTTTTAACAAGTATATTGCCAAGTAGTTGATAAAAGTGTTGAAAAGTATAGGGGCAAGGAATGAATCTTCTGGTATCCCACCTATTATCTCCATACAGTCTGATTAATACCCTTGGAGTATGATTTTTGAGTCAGCTACTGTATGTATCCACTTAATTCATATGCCATCTAGCTCCTCACTTTAAAAGCCACTGGATACAATTTGTTTAATTCAAATCAAATTAAGTTATATCCAACAAAACCTACACATATTGATACAAGAGTTTTGAAGAAAAATGAGCAGATTGATTATATGATATCCTGATTTTATAAATCTTTGAATATGTCAGACCCAGCCCAAGAACAACAGTGAAATAGTCCAGTTGAGTCAAATTCCTTTATTTGCTTACACCATGTAGACAGAACCTTGTCAGACTAAATCTACTACTGCAACAAGTGGATATACCCTGGGAGATTCTAGGGGGTGGCTATCTTGAATCTCTTATGCTTCCCATGTTCCCCCTGCGGACTGTGTTGTCTTTTGTCTCCTTTCCCTCCCTGGAATGCACCCCCCCTTTCCTGGTAGCCTTGATCATTACCCTCCTCTTCGTAGATACTGTCCATCACAAAATATTTTTGTTCTTCCCATTATGCAATCAAAGAAAATATTATCTCTACTATCAAGGATGCCCAGGGTAAACTATACAATGATTCTGACCCAATAAATCAACATTTTGAAATCTTTTTATTCTTGATTGTATACAATTCTAAATCAAATTTACCAAGGAAGAAGTAAAGCAATGTTTTTATGAAGTAGTTCTTCCTAAGATTATGGATGTTCAAATTGCCTGTTTAAGTGCACCTTTATCTCTCCAAGAAAAATCAGATACCATGAAGTCCATGAAAAGAAGAAAAGCTCCCATATGGATGGTTATCCCCTAAAATATAGGTAGGTAGGTAGATAGGTAGATAGGCAAACAGACAGACAGATAGATAGATAGGGTTATTTATTATTTGTTCCAATAATATTATTGGAAATCTATAATGATGTCTTTTTAAACAGTTATTCCAAACTCTTTCAATGAGGCTTACACAACATGTGATTTTGAAAATGATAAAGACTGCTGACTCTGCACGGTATTGTCCAATTTTTTCATTAAAAGTTGATGGAAAACTATTAATAATGATACTGACATCAGGATTACAGATGATATTACCTGTAATTATTCACCCTGCACAATCTGATTTTATAAAAGTTGCCAAATGTAGTTCCTGCATCAAGCAGGGGGTTGATCTGTGAAGTCCTTTTCAACTTCATGATTCTATGTATTTGATATTAGAATCATTGGTCTAGTTTATTAGGCAAACAGAAGACATTCTGAGCACAAGCTGTAATTATGATATATTGTGTCTTACTAATATAAATGATATGTCTTATTCATAAGGATGTGCTTCCTATATCAAAACATATTGTGCAAAGTTGACAGTTGTGCAATTAACTACCTAAGACTGTTCTTAGTTATCTGTAAGAACTCTGGCATAGAGTTGGAATACCCCATGTTAGCAAGTAAACACTAAGAATCTCTAATAATATTAAGCATATTTCTTATTATCTTTAGATAAGACTAATTCAACAAAGTATTTTTTTCTCACTTACTGAGAATTCCAGAGAAAAATTAAAAATGGATGACTATCAATCTCATTATATTGGAAGTGTAAAATAGGTAAGGGGACATATATTCATATGATATGGGCTTGCCCCACTATTGTCCAATTTTGGTTTAATATGTGTAAGCTTGTTAATATAGCCTTACAAAGATCAATCAAAGATGTGGATGTACTTCTAAATTATATACCAAAATATGTTTGCTTTCTGCTGATGAACAAGCTCTAATGGAGGGACTAATCAAAATTATTCCATGTTGTCAAGGGTTAATGGTGTGTTTACAAATGAGGTTGAATGATTTTCTCTATATACAATATTATTTGCTGTTTTTTGTTTTTTTAAACCTTTGTTATATATTAAAGTAATATGTTTAAAAAAAAAACCGGTAGGCAGCATAGGCATCTGCAAAAAAGCAGCCAAGTGATGAAACTTGAGATGGGAGATAATGAGAAATCCCTTGAAGTTCAGACTTGCAGGTGATATTGGGGTGTAATTTCAAAGGCCAAATATTATACTGTGAGGTTGTAGCACATCTTGTAATTTTTTGTTCCTGTAATTTATATCAACACTACGTAGCTAGGCTTTCTTGCCAAACCTTCTACTCTGTTCTTAGCCTTTGTTCAAACAAACAGTACATTTTGAGGTCCCAGATGCAAAATGGAACCACTAGATATTAATTGCAAATGGGAGGCAAACTGGCTGATTGTTAATTTACCATTAACAAGTTATGTTTTTCCTTCCCCACCCTTCTTTAATAATTGTGTCTATTCTTTTTCTTTGTTTTTTGTATTTAGTTAATAAAGAAAAAACAAAAAAAGTTATATTTTTCCTTATTTGGATGTAAAACGACCATGATTCCAGCAAGAGCATAAAGGACAGAGTTTTGAAAAACAACATTCTTTGGAAACCTGTGATGTTAGCATGTATATGATTTTAGGTATTATGGCTTGTAAAATCAGATTCAGCTACATCTTAGCCATACAGATTTTCTCTGACAGTAGAGATCTGACAGTGATCCTCATAATACAACTATGCTGGAAAACAGTAATTTGACTTGCTCAAATAATAATGGTTTTGCACTACAATTTTATCTATTAACCAATTTGAGATTTGAATAGGAAATGTATTATTTATTTATAATAATATAATTTATATAATGTGTGCTGGTAGGAACACATTTAGGAACAAATATAACTGTTTGGAAAGAACTAGTAAATAACCAATAAAATTGAAGACGTAGATAAGAAATGGGAAAATAGCAATACTATTTATAGAGCACTGACATGATTACCAATACTGGAGTAAGAAAGGTTAACAATAATACTCAGTTTTATACTGTTTTGTGATTGTTGCAAAATGGATGATTTCTAGCATGATGATCTTTTTATGTAGTCTTAAGAATTGGTTTCATTTCAATATTACCAAGTTTTCGTTTTGTTTTAAAAAAGAAAATATATAGGAAAAATGATAATATGTTTCATTTCATGAAGAGTTGGTTAGTAAAAATTAACTAATACCCAAACCCTGGAAACTCACCACAACATCCTGGACATATTGTATTATTGCTCATGGTACTTGTGTTTTTCCCAAACCCTGGTTTGCAATGGTCTACTTTAACACCAGCCAGAGTGCCAGGAACATAACTTAAAAGATCACCAGGAAAAGATTCTGTGTTTAGGACTTCAAAGAATTGCTTGATTTTGACATATGCCTACAATTTAAAAAGATGATATTAACATGGATTTAATTGCAAACTGGCTGTCAAGGTGGATTATATATGCGATATGATGGAAGATACTCCTTTGTGCTAATTAACATCATGAACAGCAGTTTCCATACAAAGGAAAAATTAGTAATGTGCAAACTCATTTCCAGGTATGGTATGCTTCTTTGAATGTACCGGGTTTCTCTGGGGGGAACATGTCAGTCTAGCCATTCTGGAAAATTATGAATTACCCTTCTGGAATAAAAGTTCCAGAACAGGAAGCGATTCACAATTTTCTAAACCACATTGCACTAAAAGTTGGTGAGATCTGTAAATAGCAAAACTATGTGAAAAGACTGTGAGTTGGTTTTAAAGTATGTTACAAATGGAAAAGCTGGTGGTATTCAGAAAAATATATTGATATTGTGAATTTACATGATTATCTTTTTGCTATGGCCATGCTCCTGTCTTGAAGCATACCATTCTCAAATATGTTTTTAAATCTTTTAAAATAATTCTGTATCACCTTTTTGATGCTGCTTGTGGAATGTTCACACTGAGAACGTCGACAAAAATCTGCTGTACCTAGTACTAAAGGAAACACTGTGAAAAGTGAAAAAGTAAGAATGTTATAATTGCATTTTTGCACACGATTCCTTAGATCCTACCCAAATGTGATAATGTTCATGTATCAGTATATGGTGACGTTACCACAGATAAAATCAGTCTGCAATACCAAGGCATTATCAGGTGGCAATGGTGGTATATGAAAAGATACACTTAAAAGTCAGTTACTGGGGCATTTTTATTTAAATTCTTGGTTAACAAGATTTCAACAAAAAAAAAAACAATGCATGATTTCGGTCTACTAATGACTTAGTTCTGTATCTACTGAGAGAAAATAATTTTTTTAAAAAAACTATTTCTTCCATATAAAAATAACAGTCAGGATTCAGTCAGTGTTCTCCTCCTAGCCAACACAGCTGCCAATTGGGGAATCTAGTGCAACAGCAGTGTTGGGAGGGTTACAAGGAGGAAGAGGGAAATGAGGGAGCTACCAAGGGGAAGGAGAATTTTGGCAGTGGCAAATGCTTATTGTTTTGCAGTCTTTATATATGTTTCCTGAACTATAAACAAAGGTGATATGTCAGATGAACTACAACCTATTTTTAGATACAGGTAGTCCTCAACTTATGATGGCAATGTGTACAGGGGTGTGAGGGGGTGTACAAGGGTCCAAGGGAGGCATGGTGAGGGTCAGAGGGTGCGTGGGAATGCATGAGTGGCCAGTGTGGTGCGAGTGCAGACAGGCTGGGAGAGGATGCACAGGTGGAGGAGACTTACCCCAGCAACTTGCAACCTTTCCTGCAGGCTTCCCCATTGCCTTTCTGGGGAAGCTGGCAGGGAAGGTTACAAATGGCAATCACATGATTGTGGGGCACTGCAACTGGTGGTAACTGCGAAATGGCTTCTAAGAGCCCAAATCGCAATCACGTAACTGCAGGGGTGCTGGGACAGATGGAACTCTGAGGACTAGTCATAACCACCATTTATTCAGCACTGTTACAACTTGGAACAGTTGCTGACCGAATGGTTGTAGGTCAAGGACTACCTGTATGGTGATTCCATAGCTGCATAAAAGAAGTCTATGCCTATTTTTCTTATTTTGTCTGACAAATGCATTATTCTATGGTGGGCTGATTTGGAGAATGGTTGCCCATTATAGTATTGCTGATGTATTTTTTTTACACCTTTTTAATTGACATATATACTAAAATCACCTTATTGTAATATTATTATATTACAGAAGTGATGTCTGCAATATTTTCATATTCATGGTACTATAGAACACACACACAAATATATACACAGAAGTAGTGAATAAAACTTTCACCTTACCTATGAACTGAAAGGTAAACTTATGTGTTATTTTTTCCAATGTATCTGTAGCAGCATGACACTGGGTGTTCCACTGCTTGATTTCACAACCCAGGTTGTAGATTAAGCTCTCTAATTTCTCCAAGAGATACTTTTCAAATAAAGCAATTGTGCTGGTTTCACAGGTTCCACTTGTGAATTCTGATGACATATATATACTCCTTTCTGGCACATGATACACTGTTAAAAATTAAAACAAATTATTTCTCTTAACAGCATATAGCATGTAAGTTAGCAAAAGCTAATACTGATGCATTGGAGTTTATCATAGTGCGTCCATATGATCTATATTATGTAATAATCTGATGAAGCTGGCACTGATATGCAATAGTAATTTTTAAATATATCGGGGGGAATTAGAATCCCCCTTATTGGTTCTATTAAAGTATTCATGCTCTTCTTTTGATACATGAAACAAAACTCCATCGTCATGAGTTTTGTCTGGTGACCAGAGATCATATAAAGCCATCACAGTTCAACAAATTATAGTTGGCTGGATTCACACAATACACTAAACTATACATCAGTGAGGTTATGTATAGATCCCTAACCTGGTTTGTAGCCAGCTCTGAGACTCTAGAAATAGTAAATTCCATCCTAATTCAGCCTGGGGTAGAATTTGTTCCCCCCAAAGCATGATTTGAGAAAATGGACTTCTGATCTGCTGAGAAAGTATCTCCCATAAGGATTTAAAAATCCCGTTTTCTAAGGGGAAATCATTTCGTTCTTTGATGGAAAAATGGCTGCTGTGATATAGGCAGCCTCTTCTTTTTTAAAATTCTGCTCAGCTGACTGTCCAGAATTTCCCTAGTAGAACTTAGTAAGATATGTTCAAATCTATGGAAACCACCTTCACATGACTTTTATGGCCTGCTCCCAAATCTCCAGAGAGAGGTGAAGTAGACTGCTCATTTGGAGAAGAAGGGAAGAAGGGGATCAGGAGACCCGTCAGATGATTATTCACATCCTAATCACCTCTTGTGTAGACTATTACAATGGACTCCACAGAGGGCTGCTCTTGAAGACCACTTCAAAAATACAGCTGGCCCAGAATGCAACAGTATGGGCAGTAATGGTCATGCCTCAGGATGCTCATGTGACACTACTGCTCCATGAGCTACATTGGTTGCCATTTGGCTTCCAGTGCAACTCAAGGTGCTCATTATCACCTATAAAGCCATCCATGGCATAGGTCCTGGCTTATAGAGTTATCAGCCTTCTAAATTTGATAAACAAACAACACATTGTATAAATTTCTGTAAATCATGGGTTATAAACCATAATAGCTGGGTTCAACAAAACACTAAGTCAAAATTAATTGTTTATATGTGGATCGTTGACTTGTTTCCTTTTCTGTAATGCGTCTTTATTTTCTGTTTGATTTACAGGTAGTCCTCGCTTAACGACCATTCATTCAGTGACCATTTGAAATTACGATGGCACTGAAAAGATGGACTTATGACCCATGCCCAAAGATATGGTTGTTGCAGCTCCCCCACGGCCACATGATCAAAATTCGGGAGCTTGGCAGCCTGCCTATACTTACAACTGCAGGGGCGTTGCAAGTCCCCCAACCCGCCTATCACCCACCCCCATCTATGCCCTTTTGACTGCCCTGCACAGTGGCACTCAGCAGCAGCAGCTCTGGGGCTAAGGCTGAAATAGAGGCCCGAGTCCTTCAGCAGTCACAGCCAGCTGCCAATGCCCCCAGGCCTCGACTTCAGCCCCAGCACCGCTGCTGTCACTGAAAAATGCCGCCTCAAGTCCCACACCATTGGTCTTCACTTCCACACAGCATTCCCCAAGCCATTCCTCTTATTCCTTCCCTAAAGCTGGCATCCTGTTGTCCTACCAACGAGTGCCACATCTACGCCCTTTTGACCACCGAGTACCGCTGTTCAGGTGGCCAAAAGGGCATAGATGGGAGGGGGAGATAGGTGGGTGGGGGGAGTGGCAGAGCACCTGCAGTCATAAGCACTGCTGGGGCAGGCTGCTAAATGCCCAAATGTTACATTCTTGAAGGTCTGGGTTAATTTTGTTTCATCTTCTTGAGTTTCCCGAGTTGTGTGTAGCACAGATGTGATCTCCAAAGCAATTGGAGTATGTTTCCTCTGGTATATAGCTATAATGCAATTAGTGGGAACCTCGTTGTAGCCTCTTAATTCCATATCTCTTTCTTCTGAATGCTCTATGACTTCCCTTTCCTTATCATATTCTGGTTCCATCAGAATCTCTTTTTGCTGCTTCTTACTTGGTGATTATTTGCTTTCTTCCTTGCTATTATCACTTTCTTCCTTGCTGTTACTGGAAGGCTCTAAGTGTAATAGTATGTTCTAATTGATTGGTAGTAGCCTATGGGTTAATCTGATAAGTTCTGTTTACTTTATCGTTCTGTGACAAGCAATCATACAAAGATTCAGCAGTCTTTTGAATTATGTTCATAGCTTGTCTGAACTCTTCAATCTTTGCTAAGGTACTTGTTCCTCCTATGGCATCGAGTTAAAAAAATTAAGATTACATTTAAATGTACTCAAGCAAGTCTCCCTTCAGTTGCTAGAGTGACCAGCTGGGCATTGCTCCAACAAGGTCATAGATGAAGTGGGGCAGCCCAAATGGCTTCCGTATCTATCACTCCAGACTGTGGTGAGTGATTATGGCTAGCATTCAAAGTTGATACTTGTCCTTTAACTTGGAGTAATGACTTAATATTCTTTAATATTCTTCTTTAAATACATGTGTGGGGCAGATATCAAAGGTTGCCAGAAAAGCACTAATTTTCTGCAGCATGGATAAAATTGTTGTAATTTCAAATATTAGCAGAACCCTTTGTTTGCCTTCCCAGCTAGGCAGCCACTCTTCTTAAGATCAGTTGAATATATTCTACAATGTAGGAGTTGGCTTAAGGAGTGTACAATTGATCCCTTAGATGACCACCTCCCCCTGTTGTCCTGTTACAGACAATACTATTTGATTTGATTCATAGATATAAGAATTCCTCCTGTTTTCTTCAGGAGTATGTTGACTTCTATTCGTGGTGTTCATGGCTTGTTTGTTAACAGTTTGTAGTTTAGGATTTTTATCTTTTGGGGGAGGGTTCAAATTGTCACTACAGGACTTGCCTAAACTATTAAATGTATCTTTCAGCTTGTCCACTTTCTTGCCATCTGTTCAAATATTGCTACAGTTCCAGCAGTCAAAAGGCATTGTTTAGTAACAAAGTCTTTAACAAAATTCTTATATAGTGAGTCATTTTGTCTCTTTTGGAATATTTCATTTAGCTCTGCAGTCTGCTCCTTCGAGAACCCAGAACCCAGAAGAGCGGTGTCATTGCACCACAAGTCATCATCCAAAAAATATTCTTGGTTTAGGGAGGGGAGAGGAGACTACAGATCATCATGTGAGTCAGGGTGGGAGAGAGATCCTTGTTGTAATACCCCTAGTCTGCTACCAGACTTCCAAGCATTTGAGACACCTATTTTATTTGGGTTACTAACTTGTTCCTTTGCCAATAACAGACTGTTAATCTTGAGTTGTTTAGATGCTTTGAGACATTTCAGAGAGCTGGGGCTATTCCTGGTTCTCTTTTTTTTTCCTCATGCTGTGGAGCTATTAGAGGCTGTTAGCATTCCAGAGAGCGTAAGAGACTAACTTATTAAAGAGTGTAAGTTTTGCTCTCTTCTTTACAAAGAGCTGCTGCCATCTTCAAAATAGTCTATAACCAAATACACAAGAGGTCTGCTAAATTAGGCTGAAAACTAACATGCTGATCCTGTTCCCATAGTACACTTAAGTGCATCAATGATGAGGTTAACATCTTTGGGAACACCCAAACAGGGTCAACTCACCAAGTCAGCTAAACCTAGTGGATTAAATTTAACCCCAAACAATCCCAGAGTTCCATATTTTCTGGATGTGCATAACTCTTCTCTTTTTACTGTTTTTGCTATTTTTTAAAATTTGTTGTACACTGCCCATTCTCTTGTGAAATTGGGCAGCCTTCTAATTCTAATAAACAAACAAATATTATTAACCAGATAGGGCAATTACAGCAAAAGCCCATATCATATATCCCTCATTTTATGTGTTAACATAAAACCAGCCCTTTTAAAACATTCTCTGGTTTATTCAATAAAACTGAAAAACTATATTTTGTTGAATTAATATTTTAAGATCATAAAAAAAATACTTAATATTCTTTTAAGACCCTTAATAATTAATTTATTAATGTAGTACATTCTTTAAGCATACTAATTGTGCTGTCCTGAAGTCAAAATACTGAAGCCTTTTCTTCAGTTTGATTGAATATAAGTAATATGTTTTTGATGCCTCTAATCTTAAATATAACACAGGGTATGTATCAACTAAGTAGCTTTTTTTTAACAAAGGAAACCCATTTCCAATTAATGATAGCAAAGGAGATGGGACAGATGATGATTACAGGAACTATAGGATTGATTCTCAGAAACAAGTTAGATTGAGGAACTCAGTTTACTTAATCTGAGAGACTGATCCCCAGGCTTAATAATTCATACTAAGAGATTATTAAAGTTGGTATTGTAGACTTATGCACTAAGATGTTGAATGGACTAATGCCCAGAGCTTAAATTTGGTGAATTTATGCCCAGTTATTTGGAGGAGCCAAATCTACCCAGTTCCAGAAGAGACACGGGAGATGCTTCCACCTCCACAAAATGGAAATACAAGATACCAATAGCATATTGGAATGGAATGTGCTTCAAAGATGATGGTGAATTGAACTTTTAAGAAATTGTGTTGTCAGACCCAAAGCACAGTCCAACTCTACATATGAACACAGAGACAGATAAACAGTAAAGTGATACAGCAACAACTAAAATTACAGAGTGCTAGCCATATAAAGACTGAATTCCTGTAGGGCAGAATCCAATATATATATATAGGATTCTACCCTTCAGGGATTCAGATCTGGCTAGTTAAGCATCTTTTAAGCATCTTTTCATCTCTATATTTGTATCTGTTTAGACTGGCCCAGCAAGACAAGTGGCAGCAAGACATGTGAGGTCTATAATCTTATAAAGAAAGCAGTTAAGAAGAGAAGAAATCACCAAGAGCTTTTGAGCCATTTAGTGACTGCGCATGTCAATTAATTTTCTAAGCATCAACAAGGGGTGTCTGGAGATGAGATCCCTGCCATACAGCTGCACATAGTTCCTCATTCAATAAACTCAGATTACTTTCTAGTAGCTCTAATTGACCCTAAAAAGCTACCTTCCCTACTACTTGAGCTAATATTCTCCAGATGCTACTAGACAATCTATTAGAGTTTATGGGCAGGTAGTAATTATTTAAAAGAAGCATTTAAAATCTTAAAGGCAGAACAGGGGGGCATGAACCCTTCCCAGCAACTGGTATTTAAAGTATACTGCCTGTGATTGAAGAAGCAGTATACAGTAATCAAGTCAAGTAGCTTTTGACAGTCCAGTCCTCCATGAATTGGTTTACCTTTTAAACCATTTAAACTGGTGACCATCACAACTTCTGATGGCAAAAATTCTAGTTATTGTGTAAAGAAGCATTGTTCATGAATCTCCCCATATTTAGTTATGGTAGACCAAGGTTCTAATAGTGTAAAATGTCATTTATTACTTTATACTGTTTTTCTTGCATATGACTATCTGTATAGTTTATAAGTTAATATCACAATTACAAAACAAACAAAAACAAAAAAAACAAAAAACAAAATTACTAAACACTTACTTACCATAGACTATAAAATGGATTTCTGTAGTCAGATGTTCATGATTATACATATAGTTCACTTTGCAAGTATAACAAAACAAACAAAAACAAAAAAAACAAAAAACAAAATTACTAAACACTTACTTACCATAGACTATAAAATGGATTTCTGTAGTCAGATGTTCATGATTATACATATAGTTCACTTTGCAAGTATAACTCCCAGAGTCACTGGCTTTGATTTTATAAATCTCCAAGCTACCATCACCATTTAAAACAAATCTTTGAGATTCTATAAAAAAAAAAAATTCAAAATATAAAAAATGTGACATCAAGTTGTAATACAAATTAATCCTAAAGTCCTGAAGCCTGATATTTAGCAGTAGGGTGGGATTCTTTATATAAAATACTCCTACTATGCATTTTCATACAGCCGTTGATAAATCACACAGTATATAAATAAGCAAAGAAGAAAATGTACAAAAACACATAAGAAAGGTGTGGGTAATCTGTGGTCCTAGGCCACATATGGCCTGAGACATCCAACCTCCAACTTGTTCCCTGGACACAATGGTAGGAAATTGTGACCCTTATCTGTTGGCACAATTTACAGTGGGGCAAAAAAGTATTTAGTCAGCCACCAATTGTGCAAGTTCTCCCACTTAAAAAGATGAGAGAGGCCTGTAATTTTCATCATAGGTATACCTGGTATACCTATGATGAAAATTACAGGCCTCTCTCATCTTTTTAAGTGGGAGAACTTGCACAATTGGTGGCTGACTAAATACTTTTTTGCCCCACTATATGTCATTGGTATACCTATGATGAAAATTACAGGCCTCTCTCATCTTTTTAAGTGGGAGAACTTGCACAATTGGTGGCTGACTAAATACTTTTTTGCCCCACTATATGTCATTGGTATACCTATGATGAAAATTACAGGCCTCTCTCATCTTTTTAAGTGGGAGAACTTGCACAATTGGTGGCTGACTAAATACTTTTTTGCCCCACTATATGTCATTGGTATACCTATGATGAAAATTACAGGCCTCTCTCATCTTTTTAAGTGGGAGAACTTGCACAATTGGTGGCTGACTAAATACTTTTTTGCCCCACTATATGTCATTGGTATACCTATGATGAAAATTACAGGCCTCTCTCATCTTTTTAAGTGGGAGAACTTGCACAATTGGTGGCTGACTAAATACTTTTTTGCCCCACTATATGTCATTGGTATACCTATGATGAAAATTACAGGCCTCTCTCATCTTTTTAAGTGGGAGAACTTGCACAATTGGTGGCTGACTAAATACTTTTTTGCCCCACTATATGTCATTGGTATACCTATGATGAAAATTACAGGCCTCTCTCATCTTTTTAAGTGGGAGAACTTGCACAATTGGTGGCTGACTAAATACTTTTTTGCCCCACTATATGTCATTGGTATACCTATGATGAAAATTACAGGCCTCTCTCATCTTTTTAAGTGGGAGAACTTGCACAATTGGTGGCTGACTAAATACTTTTTTGCCCCACTATATGTCATTGGTATACCTATGATGAAAATTACAGGCCTCTCTCATCTTTTTAAGTGGGAGAACTTGCACAATTGGTGGCTGACTAAATACTTTTTTGCCCCACTATATGTCATTTTGAGGCAGGAAACACTCCTAAACTGCAATGCATGCCGTAAAATAGAGGTAATAGCATTTTAAAAGAATATAGGACTCCCCTGCCAAAGTTCTCCCTAAATCTAGGGAAACATGGAAAATTCCAGTCCCAGGGATTTGCTGCCACTCATGCCAATCAGTGTGGCCTTGACCTACAAACCGTTAAAGTATGTACTACATGGGTGCTTTTTTGGTTATTGATTCAATTCTATCATTCTTCTGTGTTAGCAATCAATAATGTCAATGTATGTCTATCATAATTGCAATCCTATGTTTTCTTAGCAAGTAGAATGGTATTGAAGAAGAGCAAATGTGCTTTCTCCCTTAAGAAAGGGAAAAAAAGAGGATTTCAGTAATTACTGACCAGTGAAATTAACATTCATACCGGGAAAGATGTTGCAGCAGCTAATAAAGCAGGCTGTAAATATATTGAAGACAATGCTGCAATTGCTAAGAGCCGACATCATTCTGTCAAAAACAGGTCAAGTGAAACAAACCTTGTCTCATCCTTTGACAAGGTTTGACCTGAATGGAATGCTGTGGATATAATCTGCCTCAATATCAGCAAAGCTTTTGACAAGGTTCCACATGGGTGCAAGGTCCAAATATCTAGATGTTGCTTGAACTTCCTAATAGTAAGATCTGTACAGTGAAACTGCCTACCTAAGCAAGTTGTGGGTTTTTCACCTTGGGAGATTTTTAAGAAGATAATGGATAGCTACCTCTTGAGGATAGTTTAACTGGTTTTCCTGCAGACTGCAGAATGTTGGACTATTCGTTTACAAATAAAACAATAATTACCTTTAGTTATTTGGCCTATGGGACCAGTCCATTGGTATTTTGGATCAATGATTCTTTGCATTAATAGCTTTTCAGTCAAACAGTTTAGAATTATTTTTTTTGAATCAATAACAACATATACTGGAACTGAAGTAGGAAAAATCACATGAGATACAGGATTATATACAATTTAACAAAAATAATGCAAATAATATCCCACTAAGGCTTATTTCTGAGAGATGAATGAAAAGAATGAAGAAGTTTGGTGAATTACATTATATTGGCCTACTCCAATTAAAGGTTTTGTTTTTCCATTAACACAAATTAATGGAAAAGTATTAATATATTTTTGTTCCATAGATCTGAGGCTAAGAATGAATTGTTATTTCCATGATGAACAACTTATATGTTAAATGCATAGACATTTGACTACTCTGGGATACAGAACCTATGACTAGAGAAGCAGGTAGAGAACACAATCCTTTCCTGACTTTCTGTTTTCTTAATCAAGATGCATCTTTTCCACCCAGGAGTTTTTTTTTTTAAATATGCAACATTACACATGGGAAACTCTGGTTAGAATGAGAGAAGAGGATAATTCTGGAATTAGAAATTGGAAGGAAGAAGATTATCTTCAATCAAATATAGAAACAGTACTCTGAGTGCTTTAAAAATGGGTCTAGGGGCTCAATGCTCTGGACTAGAGAGAAAAATAATAAATTCTAGAGGAAAAATGTACTCATGCATTTTTCTAATATGATAGACCAGAGAAGAGAAGAGAAGAGAAGAGAAGAGAAGAGAAGAGAAGAGAAGAGAAGAGAAGAGAAGAGAAGAGAAGAGCTCAGCCAATTTTGAGCAATAAAAAAATGAAAAGTGATCATCTGCAAAGTTTTACATTTGACATTAATTTAACTCTTCAAAGGAACACTGTAGATAATGCTCTCTCCTGCCCTGATGCTAAAAACATTTACTTGTGAGCAAACATCATCTAATAATAAAAAGCAATAATATCTATTTATTATGAGCTGTAAGATCATTGATATTTCCTACAAAGATGGTGCTTAAACCTGTTTTATTTTCATCCTACTCTTCCCTCAAGAAATTAATGCAGTATTGTGTTAGGGACATGGACGTGGACTGGGAAGGCTGAGACTCGACTTGACCATGGAGCTTACTGGGTGACTCGGGGCTTGTCATTTTTGTCATTCCAAGCTACTTTAATTCAGAAGGGCCAAGAAAGTCTAAAAGGGATTCTGCCTCTAACCTCTAAGCATGAAGAGAATGATCTCCCTCAGTATTTGGCAATAACAGCAAAAATAAATAGCAATATGTGGGGTGTGGTAGGATAAGCTGCCATGGCAGAGACTGTATCATCATTTCTTCCCTACAGTTTTAATGTTTTGCCTGTCTGCCAGCTGCATGAGGGTAGTTGTGCAGGCAGCTGGAAAGCTCTTGGTTTCCCTAGAACACCCATGAGCACCTACCTTCTGGGTAAGATTTGTAAGATTACAAATAGGAGTTGTGAAAGATGAAAGCAAGCCTAAAAATTAGGCCTTAGTTATAGCCACTACATACATAGTTAAAATATATTCAGAAGATTGAATATATTTGTTATACAGGTAGTCCTCACCTAATGATGGTAATTGGGGCTGGAATTTCCATTGCTAAGTGATGTGGTCATAAAGCACGATGTCACGTGACCATACTGCTTAGCAATGGCAGTTCCGGTAGTCCCCGGTTCCTGTCAAGCGAATCACCACAGTCGTTAGGCAAGGTTGTCACATGACTGCAACTTCCAACTTCCTGCCAGCTTCCCCATTGACTTTGCTTGTGGGAAGCCACCAGGGCAGGTCACAAATTGTGATCTTGTGATGCTACAACGGTCAGAATTCTGGGACAGTTGCCAAGCACCTGGATTGTGATCACATGACACAGCTAGAAGTTCAAGGACCAGTCATAAGTACCTCATTCAGCACTGTTGTAAGTTTGAACAGTTGCTGAATGAGTGGTTGTTAACTGAGGACCACTTGTATATAATCTGTGTTGGGTTTCACTTATCATTTAGGGACAAAGAAAACATTGGCTCCTCTCAGCTTGAGGTCTGATAATCAAACAATACTAATGAATTCCAAGGGAAAAAAGGCATGCCACAGACCTGGGGCAGTTCAAAGATCTGTAACTGTGGTAAAAAGAGTGGCCAGTGTTCTCTTTCGTTGCTTACTATTCTGGGCTTCCCCAGGTGTCTTTTTTTTTCTTAGCAAAGAAAATCTATTAAGGCAAACGTGGGCCACTTTTCTTGGCCTGGGAGGGGGAGGGGGCTAGAGTTTTTATATGTATATGTAGGCAGCAGAGGACATGGCCAATGAAGTCATTATATCACTGGACTGAACAGGCCCTTTTTGCACCCATTTATGGCACCCATTTTAAACTTTTACCCCTCCCCCACTTCAAACAACAGAACTGAACATTTCAGCCCCACTCATCCCAGGATAGCTTTGGGGAGGCAGCAAATCACAAATAGGAGCTAGGACATAGCTTGGGTGGGCTGTCCACTCCTACTATAAGAAGTGTAAGAGATGCATAGTGTTTTCATTGGCAGTGCCAGAAGTTCTCCATTGGAAATGTTTAAAAGCTATCTTCTTATGTAAAAATAGGTGTAGTTTAAGACCTCTAATTCAACTAAGTTTCTTGTGCTTAATTCTGCTTATAATTAGATTATATATTGCAAAACTGCTATTCTCTTATGGTTAATTAAATCAAGATTTACTGATTTAATCTTATTTTTTTGTGTTCATATGACCCACTGAGCCATAAACTAATCCCATGGGCTGTTTTCATACAACATGCTAGGTAAAAATATGATTGACTAGTTTATAGTTCTGTGGATCTTATGGACCCCATCCATTAAAGGTATATTATAACAAGGAATAAAAATGCAGCAAAAAGACAGCTTTTAAACAGTTGTATAAAATCAACAGGTGAAGAAATCTGTGTTACCAGTTCTTTCTTCTGTTCCAACTATTTGAAGAGAAGTCTGCTGAGCTTCTGTGATGGAAGTAATGAATTTATATAGAGTTTCTGTTTTTTGTGATATGCTTCTGGTTTCTCTCTTCAAGTATATTGCTTTTTTCCTTAAGTGGCACACTTTATTCATAAAACATGGGCTTCCAACTAACACAATATGAAACAAGAAAGAAACACAATTCTACAAAGCATACTATGATTTTGATTAAAATAATTAGACCATCATTCACATTACTAGTCTAACTATAAATCACTCATCTAATGACGCATTGCAGATTTCAGAAATAATATGCTTACTCAGTTATATATATGACCAGCTGAAGATATATTTTCTTAGTGACATTCCCATCAACTGATACCTGGAAAATGAACAAAACTAACGCGGCTTCACTTCCTCTCCTCCCACTAAACGTTAAGAAATGAAAAGGCAATACATACTTAAGGGAAAAATCTCAAACTGAGGACTAAAAACGCTGTCATCTTTTGGTGGGAAGAAAATCGTTGGTATAAAGTGAAAAGGAGCGAAATAGCTCAAGAGAAAGCGTGAATGGCTGGAATACTGAATAGCAGAATAATACACTGCAATCTGTGATCGTTATCTCCCCTGCCAGGTAAACATAATAACATCTGTCTAACTACAACCTGCAACTACAAATTCCAATTCTTTAGAATTGCGGAAGGCCTGAGCAGATTATAAGCATCTGTGCGCCTTCCTTCCGCTGCCTTCTTAGCCCTCCCCCTCGTCAGGAAAACACAGCTGCCAATCAAAGAGTAGGCGGGAGAAGGGAAAGCAAGATGGCTATTTGGGAGCTCTGCAGGCACAGACCTCATGAAGAATAGGCTAAATAAACAGAGCCAAAGGCCAGGAGACAAAGTAAAGGGTAAAACTAAAGGCTAGACAGCTCCGCTGAGAAAGAGGGAACCGTAAAGGATGCAGCAGCTGAGAAAACTGGCGAGAGAGAGGCGTTTTTTCCTTCACTCAGACCTGGCATAAGGTAAAAGTTCTTCAAGCTGTTTCCCTCAGATGGAGCAAAGATTTGTAAGAGGAAAAGAGAAGTCCAGCCAGGAACAAAAAAGCAGAAAAGGCAAAGAAAAAGTAAAGACTTTGACAGAATAGAAATAGAAAACAGAAATTAAAAAAGATCAAAGTCTATAGAAAAAGGAGTACAGCTCTTTACAAAGTGACAATAGATATACACAGTGATTAAGATAACAGACATACAGAAGTCAGCAATAAATATATTAGAGATATAGAATAGAACGATGTGAAAATATAGTGAAATTGGACTTTAGAGAATATAGTATAAAGACCTTATAGAAAATAGTTAAAATAGAAAATAGTTATCCAAGTTTCCAGTGTTTTGTGTCTATTGAGTCTGGATTAATCTGGTTATTGGTAGTTCAAAAAAGGGAACCTGTGACAGGATTTAATACTGACCTACTTTATAGACATTCACTAAGGATAACAAAGAATTGTACATGAAGCAGGAAAGCAGTACTTACAAGAAGAGAGTTAAACAGGGTCGGACATTCTCTTACCTAGTATGAAAAATTCCTTGCCAAATATCACTTGATAAAATAGCTTTACAATTATTAAAATATTAGTATTATTAGTGTTTTCTAAGGCCACTACCTAGGAAAGTGAAGTAGACAGAATTGACATTTACCATTCACTTAAATGAGCATTTTTAACTAGGTATCTGTATGTTTTTCAGAGGATTGTTCAGATATTGACTTTGGTTCTGCATTTCTTATATTAATTACTTGGATAACTAGTATGATAAATAGGACAAGGTGACTTTATCTTTAATAGTTTCAGTATTCTAAAAGTTTCAAGATGTATAGATTTTGACAACTGTTTACAAAGCAATTTATAAAATATTGACACAAAAAGCAGAAAGTAGGATCTAAAATTCTCCACAAATAGGATTGTTCTGGCTTACTTGTAAAACAATAACAGAAATGGAAATATGAAAACCATTGAGAAATGGAGTTTAAAGTTTTGGGACAGTTACAGTTGCTTGTAATATGTTCTCTTTGGGACATTCATGTTTTTCAGCATGTTTTTGGTCCAAATTCAAGGATCTGACCAATAAATGCTAAATTGTTATATCTGGCAGTTATATTCAAACAGCAGACCCTCTCATTATGAACAACCTGAAATCTGACATAATTTTATAAGGCTCTGTCCAGAATACAATGGTTCCTTATTAGAGGAACTTAGAAATTTCATAAAATGGAAGAGGCACTCTTCAAGACAGATAGAATATCAATTGTAGCTCAAGAACTAGGGAGTTCAGGTGATGTTTTCATTTGTTCTTTTAGTCAAAGGAAGAGAAGTTGAAATGACAATACTGTGTGTGAATTACTGGCTATGGAAATTTTCACATGCGAATTAATTTGTTTTGGGGATCATGATCTATACTTTCTGGACAAAATATTACATAAGATGGGTTGCTAAAAACTGAGCTGAGCACTTGTAGACTGAGATGACTCTATCTAGGTTCAATGTGTTGAGTTGAATTGATCTGAAGTGAGTTATATCCCATTAACTGAAAAAAATTAATTTACTATGGACATGTTATTTATATAATTACTGTGGACATTTTATTGTGCAATTATTTATTTATTTATTTATTTAATGCATTTATATCCTGTTGCAATTGAAATAGATTCTCAGCAATTATTATTAACTGCCATGGGTCTTGATTGAATTATGGTGATATACAGTGGAATAAACAAATAGTATTGAGGGAGGAAAGGGATTTTTCTCAAACATGGCAAGCTTTAAGCTAAAATCCTATGGTGGTTGAAAACTACAAATTAGGACTTGGACACTGCACAAGGAAGTGAAAAATACCTGTAGTGGGGCCCATTAAGGCATTCACCTGAAATTCAGGAAAAAAATTGGCTTATAAAATTCACTGTTGAATTCACAATCTATATATTAATAACAGAGAATGAAAAATAAAAGACTTGAGGCTGAATATTTAATACAGGATAACGAACATGATTAATAGGTTAACTGGAGTTCATTATTGGAATACAATTGAAGGATAATCCTGTTCATGAGAAATAGAAGCAACCAAAAGGAAAGTGAAATTGCACTATATGTTAAAAATATCCTCATCTGCTCAGAAATCTATAGGAATGAACCTGTTGATGCAGTAGAGAGCATTTGGGTTAAAGTAAGTGGAAGGAGAAATAAAAACAGTACTGTTGCCAATGTCTATTGTCAACCACCCAAAAAGGAAAAGGTATTCCACAAGCAAATTTCAGATTTTTCAAACAGCCATGAAGTAGTAATAGTGAGAGGTGAGTTTAATTACAAATTCTGCCAAGCATAGTTCTTTCAGGAACTTTTAGTCTTGCTGACAATTTTTTCTTTCAGAGGGTGAAAAATGGTATATGGGAATTGGATATCTTTGATTATCTTAATAGGAAATGCTTAGCAGGCAGATGGAAGTAGCTTGAAATAGCATTTTTGAAACCAAGAAACTACAGTGAATATAAAACATATACTTTGGACATCAAGAAAGATATTAATAAACTCACAGAAGTAGGATTTTATGGCAAGGAAACTAATAAGAAAAGGACACAAGGTGCTCCCTCCCCTAAAAAGGGGGGAGCTACTAAAAGCACAGTTTGCAAACAATTCCAATGATGGAAAAATAGAAGTTAGCAGAAGGGAATGTGACTGTATGCCTGAACATTGAATATTAAAGTCACATATAGCAATTAGATAGAAGTAGTCATCAAGAAAGAGTACATGGTAGTATTGATGTATAGAGACAGTGCCATCAATAAGCAAAGGCTAATAAAGGATAATAAGAATAATGAAAAAAGACTTTTTGTAATATGTTCAAAATAAAAAGTGTTGCTAATTCCTTTTCAGCCTCCCTTCTGATCACATGACCGAAAATGAAGCTTTTGTTAGGGTTTTGGAAAAAAATTCAAAACTATGCTTTGCACACATTCCTGCCTTGTTTAAAGGTGACAGTTATATTATTGGACATAATACTGAGGGCACAACCTGAGATCCCCTTCCCTAAAGCCTTGGGTGCGGCCCACAGAGTTCCCCCAAAGGCTGCTACTAAATTATGATTTTAATGTAACAGAATATAGGGGAACAATCATTCTAAATATGCTTGATTCAATTTTAATTATATTTTAATTAACTAACATTAAATAAAATTTAATTTTTGTCCTAATCACATCTATTATTTCATTCTGGACCTGCCTAATTATGGCTTCAGCTCATCACTCAAAGGCAAAGTGGAGTCCTCAGCCTGAAAATGATTGGATGCCCCTTCTGTAATATCATGAAGTATTCATTTCTAGACAGCTTGTCCAAGGTTCTTCTCTCTTCCTCAAGTAAGTCAATTTTGCATATGTAGCTAAAGGAAGGAGTATGGTGGGATAACAGTTCTTCTATCCTGTCATAATATATGCCACCTCAGGATAGATAAATGCCTCCTCTGAATATGATGGAGAAGTTTTGTGATTAAGAGGAAAGGAAATGCTGGTCTTCTTCAGGGATTTGACTCATTTTTCTCTCTTTGCATTACTTACAGGTGGCCCTGGAGAAAGGGAGGAGCGATAATAATGAGAGTGTACAAAGGAGCTGTATTAGAGAAATATGATACTGTAGAGGGACTATTCCTGGCATCATGGTTTTAATTCTCCCTTTCACGTGTGTGGCTGTCTTCCTCTCACGTCTCCCACTTGCAAGCAGTTCAGAGAAGGTAAAAGAAATGAGGGAAGCATAGACATGGAATGTAAAATGAGAAAAGTGGGTGGGGCTTGGAATAGAGGGAGAGAGAGAAGGATTGGCTCTTTTTAAAAGAAAGAACTGTTGGTGCTGAGATGTGGAAGGAAAGAAGGAGACCAAAGAAGAAGAATCCAAGAAACCAAAGAGTGAAGAAGAGAGATAGAGTAACAGAAACAGAGCAACCCAATTAGGGAGAATATTAACCTTTACAACAGAAGCCAGCAAAAACATAATGGGTGGCTGTTAGAGAGGTTTTGCCTTCTGCTCAATAACTGTCACTTCTCTCTCTCTGTTTCTGATGCGTGCACACACACATGTTTATTTATTAAATTAATTTATATAGCTGCCCATCTCACCATAGAGATATGAAACTGTGTTTCAGGTTTTTGGTTATTGTAAGCTTAAATGCAAATGTAAAAAGTACTTCTGTAAATATATTTTAGTTAGTTTCTGGGTGATTGCAAAAAATATCTACCCATCCTCCCTCTACACAGAAACACTATATCCCAAGTTTTGAGTGGTAGAAGCACTGGGGCAGGAGCAAATAATTGAAGAGAAAAAAAAATGGGATTTGTCTTCATGTTTTTTTTTTTAATCCCACTTTTTTTATATATAACTCAAGTTGGCAAATATACCTGGTACTCCTGCCTCCTATGTTCCACACAACAGCAACTCTGTGAGGTAGGTTGAGCTAAGAGAGAATGACTGGTACAAAGGTTGGTTTTCATTCCCAAGGGAGCCCTAGAACTCACAGTCTCCTGGTCTCTAGGCCAGCACCTTAACCATTGCACCAAACTGACTTTCAGTTGTTTCTTAACTGGTAAACCCTAGAAGTATCCACATGTCACTTCTGGAAATGGATTGCTGCTCCAGAAGATGGTTCACATAATATGTATAGAAGTAATTGCTACTTTACATAATTACTTTAAATTATGAAAAGACAAATACTTCTTTTAAGAGGCAAATTCTGGGTAAACTGTAGTAATTGCCTAATTTTGCTAAATATATATCTGTTTCTCTGTTTGTATAATACTTTTCTGAATCACTGTACATTTTCTTTCCCTTCCATCTTGTAGGAAAGGATAGCCAGGTATACTTTATTTTGTTTTGTGTTGGGTGCAGTTTTTCCTCTACACTTTTCTGCTTCTCCTCATTTAGCATATAAAAATTGTCTTGACCTTGACAAATATGGAGAAATCTTTGCTGACAAAGAAGGAAATTCTTCTTGAATGTGGTGAGAAATTTTGATGAAGAAAGCCTACAACCAAAGGCTTGGGCTGAGGCAGTAGAACAAACATTTGCTGGACAGTAGTTGGCCAGTAACTGCTCTCTACAAGACAGTGTATGTTACTAATTGGTTTAAAGGAGCAGTGACTCTAGCCTGAATCACTTGGCCAGGGCAGGGGAAGAGTCCAGATTTCTCTAGTGTGGCAGAAGTGGGTCTGGGCAAAAATAACAGATTCCTGATTCCCAGTCCTGTTCCTCATACAACTGGAAAATTAAGGGAAAATAAGAGGAAAATTAAGGTTAATATGTGCAGAGAGTAAGGGAAGTGACAGAGGGAAATATGCAAAAAGCATTACCTAGGTAAAGCAGGGTGAAACATTCTTTAAGTTCTGGGAAACAAGATAATATTTGGAAGTGGCTCAGGCAAACTCCTCCCTGATTCACTGAAATATAAGGAGGGCAGGTACAGCACAATTAGACTTGCAATGTTCTATTATTTATCACATTTATATAGCTACCTATCTCACAATAAAGTGACTCTAGGCAGCTTACAATAAAAACAATAATAAAATCCAAATGTTAAAAACCACAGTTAAGAGACATCAACAATATTATTAATCATTATAGCCAATCTCAATAAAGTGGAGTTCTGATCTTCCTGTGGAGTTGATTTTCTGATCTGGTCTAAAGGGGCTGACAGTAATGTCTTATCTTAATATATGCAATTTTATAAATTACTTTAACCATAACTTTCTTGACAGTATTGACATTTGAGACGTTGGGTCAGATCCATGGTGAGAGCAAGTAAGTGGAAAGGACCCTGGAACAGAGGCCCTTAAAAGAGAACTAAGATGGGAATCTCATTGGCCAGCACAAATTGAAAGTTAATCCCCCTCCCACCTGATGATGGCAGGTTAACCCATAACATATTAATGTAGAGGTATGTTCACAATTTACTACTCCTGGGGGTTCCGAGCAACTGGCTGGGCTTAGGTTTTGCAAACAGTGGGAATACTGGCAATGCACAGAGTTTGGAAATTAGCCCAGTGTTTCACTAAACCTTATGTTTGCTGGAATCAATACAGGTGGTCCTTGGGTTACGATGGCAATTGGGGCTGGAATTTCCATCGCTAAGTAATGCGGTTATAAAGCACAATGTCACATCACATTGTTTAGCAACAGAAATTCTGGTAGTCCTAGTTGCTGTCATTAAGCAAGGACCATGTGGGTCATTAAGCAAGGACCTCACATGACTGCGGCTTCCAACTTCCTGTCAGCTTCCCCATTGACTTCGCTTGTGGGAAGCTGGCATTGAACATCAGAAATTGCGAACATGTGACCATGGCTTGCTGCAATGTCATAATCGTGAACCAGGCTATAGTATACAGATGGACCAATGGGAGAAGTGGTGGTTGAAAGGACTGAAATTTACATTACATTATAACTTAAAAGAGAACTTTTACAGAATGATGTATTGTTGGTATATGATACCAGAAAAATTACCTAGGATGTATAAAAGTACTTCAACTTTATGTTGGAAATGTGGAAAACATGAAGGGTCATTTTATCACACCTGGTGGACTTGTAAAAAACACCACTGCTTCATGAGCTGCACTGGTTGCCAGTTGGCTTCTAGGTGGAGTTCAAAGTGCTGGTTACCACCTATTAAGCTCTTTATGGCACAAGGCCTAGATACTTGAGGGATGGCCTATCTCTGATAGTTTTTGTCTATCCTACGGAGAGCAGGCGAGCTCCAGGCCCCTTTGATTAAATGATGGCAGTGTGCTTTCTCTGTTGCAGTGCCTGCCTTCTTAAGATTCATATAGCTTCCATCCTTGATGTTCAAGAAGTCACTGAAAATCTGGCTGTTTTTGCAGGCCTTGGGTTAGGTTGGGTGCTGAGTTCCTGAGAATTTTATTTGATTAAGTATGTATTTTTTCTGGAGGTTCATGCTCTGTGTTTTTATTGCTATTGTTTACTGTTTTTAATGCCATAAGCCTCTCAGATTCTTATGGAGTTGGGCAGCCTTTAAATATAAATAATAAATACATAAAAGAAGGTATGGTCAGTTTCCCTGCAACATTATTATTAAGTGAAGAAGATCAGTAGAAGAAGCTGCCAGTTTTTGCCATAATCTCTTCCAGGGAATTGAGTTGAAAACTGTCTTCATATCTATAAAGGTAGCAAAGAGAGTACAAGCACATTTTGTTGACAGATGGTGCAGAGTATCTGCAAAAAGTCAGAAGATGACTTCTTCAAGTTTTTGGAAAAAGTGTTTTGTATATAATTTACCAATTACACTGAGCAACCTAATTGGAGGGTAATTAGCCAGGTTGGTCTTACCCCTATTTTTATGTATTGGAGTTACTCAGTTTCTAAGGATCTGAGGATAAGTATCAGCATGGGCAAATAAAGAACATTTTAGGGACACTAGCAGATGGAAGGTCCTGAACAATCTACATGTGAGAACTTATTCTGACCAGTTTTCAATTTCAGTAGTTGCCCTTATTTGCTGGAGTCATTGCCTCCCCGATACCAGACAGGTCCCAACCCTGCTTGCCTTTAGAAAAGCAGTTAAGACCTGGCTTCCCCCGCCCCCCGGGCATTTGGGTCTAGCTGAATGGGGCCCCCTTTGGGTTGTTTTAATTATCTCATTCAGTACACTATTTTATATGCTGAGTTATTTTTTTAATGATGTGTGTTATTCCTTTTGTTAATGTTTATTTTATTGTATGTGGGTTAGTCATACAGTTGTTTGAGTTGGGAAGCATTTAAATGCATGAAATAAACTTATTTATTTATTTCTTTTCTTCATTATTTATTTGTTTACTTTATTTATTTGCTTATTATTCTAGATATAAGTTGAGACTTATACCTAGAAAAGTATGTTTTTAAAGTGTACTGCGTAGTTACTCTGTCATGTAGTTTAAATTGCTTTGTTTTAACACAACAAAATCCTCTAGAAGTTTCCAAAGTTAGATCACTATAAGAAGCGTCTTAAAGATTTTCAAATTTTGAGAGAAGCTGATTGGAGTTTTGAAATGAGTTGAGAATTATTAAAGTATATACTGTATACTATAAAATATTGATTGAATTTTAAATAAATATGTGATATATAGATAAGAAAAGATGTTATAAAGATGACCTGTGTGTCTGTGTGAGAGAAATTCATTACAAAGGCTTAAAAATAATTATCAAAATCATACAAAAGATGCTTATATCAGAAAAAATTTAATGTGGAACAGCTTCAAGTAAGTGATGAGTAGATTCTCTGATGTTCTTTCCCCTCCCATCTACCGTGTGAAGGAATGGTTGGATGAAGGCCGTGCTCGAGGAGATAAGCATTCCCTTAGCCCTCA